CTACTAACTGATTTTCGAATATAAATTCCATATGGATTTGTACAAGATTAAATAATACAAATTTTTGTTATCATAATTTGGCGCCGTTGCCCGGGATTTTAAACTCATGAAAATTATTTTGGTTGAGGATCTTTTGAAGCGCCATAATTTACTCTTAATTATTTGTAATCGTAATTTTTGTATTTTTACTAATTTTGCTAACCTTTACGTTGGTGTGGCTGTCATTATGTAGGGGTCCGAAGTGTTTTCTGCGCCCCACAAGTCCTACTCCTTCCGCTCGATCATAGAGATGTCTGTTTAGAGAGCAAGTGCGAGAACAACTTATGGCGAACCGAGGAAATGCCACCGCTCCTTCTACTGTCGTCCCAGCTTTCCAGACTACCGCTGGGACGGCTTCAAACTCCGCCACATCTGCATCCTCGCAGGAGGTGCCGCTCCACATCCCCACTATGGTCCCCACTGTCATTCCCCATGCGCCCTCGGTAGCATCCAACAGGGAATGGTGGGGCTGGAAGCGCACCTCGCTCAGGTGGAGAAAGCCCAGGCTGCGCAGGGGGCATTTATCACTTCCCAAGCGGCTCAAGCTGCCAACACCGCTGCGATACCCGCTACCGTCACTCCCTCACCACTTACTTCTGAGCCTAACCAGAGGGCTGAGGGAAATAGGGCTGCTGATCGCCCGTTTGCTGAAGTCCCCATGGACGTTCACTACCAGTCCCTTCTGGATCATACATTAATTACAAGTTCTTTGCCCAGAGGCTCTGGCCATTATGAGGTGAAACCAGCGCTTTTCAGCCTGGCGAGCCAGAGCCAATTCCATGGGCTGCTCAACGAAAGCCCTTGTGAGCATTTACAGAACTTTAACAGGATCGCTGCCATCTCCAAATCTCACGGTATCACGGAGGACGCTGCAAAAATGATACTGTTTCCATTCTCTTTATCTAGAGAAGCCAGGAAGTGGTTTGATAACCTGTATCCCATTCCTGGCTCATTCAAGGAAGCAGCGTAGGCCTTCATGAGTAAATACCATCCTGTATCGAAGACCATTCGCCAGAGTAATGAAATACTCACTTTCAAGATGGCGAGTGATGAGACCCTTCCCAAAGCCTGGAGCCGGTTCAAATAATTGCTCCGCAACTGCCCTCATCATGAAATTCCGGACTTCATGGAGCTGCAAATTTTCTACTCAGGAATCACTCATGAACTGAGGATGTCCTTGGATGCAGCGGCAGGAAGCTCGCTGATGGGGCGCTGTGCCTCAGAAGCGAGGGCTTTAATAGAGAAGATGACGGCCAATCAGTCAAGTTGGCCAGAGTCCAACAGGCTTGAGCCACCGAGGGGTCTATACCAGGTTCCTGCTTCCGTTTCTCACGATGCAAGGATCGACAGTCTATCGATCCAAGTTAAGGAGCTGTCTAAGCTCATGAAGCAAGACCTACGTAACAAAGGAAAACAGGCGCTGCATGAGGCCGCGGAATGCGAGGAAAGTGCTTTTGTAGACCATCAAGGACCGCTGGTTGCTGAGTGCTCGACTGAAAAGGCTCAGAACCCAGCGGAGGTCTACTATATGGCTGGCATAAATGCCCCTCAATTCCAGCAATTCCAAAAGGGGCAGGCTCAAGGCCCCGCTGGACCGCGTCCTCAACAACAATTTTAGAGGCCACAATAGTTAGTTGTGCAACAATATCATCAAGGGGGATATCATCCACATCAACGATACTTTCAAGCCCCCCACTTCCCGCAGTAGGCACCTGTATTTGCCCAACCTCCCACAGCGGCCCAAGCACCGCTGAGTCTGGAGGAACTCTGGAGGAACACAGAGCGAGCAAATCAGGAGTTCCAAAGAAATATTTCTGCCTCGATCAAAATGCTGGAAATTCAAGTCGGGCAGATAGCTGAAGCTATGAAGCTAAATCAAAAAGGAACTTTGCCTAGGACAGTCGAGACTGTCTCGAACCAAGAAAAGGCCATCGAAACAAGGGGAGGGAAGCGGACACAATCACCACCTCTGCCAGACAGAGGTATTAATCATTCTCCTAACCCTATTGTTGCTAACGTGCCTGTGCAGGATGAAGTTATACAGATTCCATCCCAACCACGAGCAATACCAGCCGCTCGGGTGCCTGAACCGAAGCAAAAGGGTCCCGCTCAGCCCTTGGCTCGAGCCCCTTTTCCCACACGACTAGGGAAGAAGGACAACTCCAAGGAATTTGATAAGTTTGTGCATACTTTTCGTAGTCTTCAAATTACTATACCGTTTGCTGATGCTTTGTCACAGATGCCACATTACGCTAAGTTTATTAAACATATAATCAACTGAAAGCGGGCATTCCCTGACGAAGCGGCGGCGGTGCAGCTGGAGAGTGTGTGAGGACCTCCCAAAGAAACTTAGCGATCCTGGGAGTTTTATTATTATTTGTACTATAGGAAATTTAGAGCCGATTAGGGCATTATGTGATCTAGGGGCAAATATCAATCTTATGCCCTTTTCGCTTTTCTCTAAATTAGGGCTTTATGAGTTAGAAGCATGCAGAACTGTAATTCAGCTTGCCGATAAATCAATAAGATTACCTAAAGGAATCATTCGTGATGTACTCATGCAAGTAAACAAATTTATTTTCCCTGAAGATTTCATCATAATGGAAATGAGCAAATATCGCAAAATTCCAATAATTTTAGGGAGAACTTTCCTTGCCACCGCTCAAGCTACGATAAATGTTGCCGAAGGCGAAATCTCATTAAGCTTCAGTGGAGATAAAGTCACATTTTCCATGAACTCAGCATTGCGTCAACCTCAGGAAGAAAATTGTGATTTTATCAATGAGTTAAATGAAATATCGACTTTTGAGAGCTTTATTACACTTGAAAATCTGGAAGGAATTTCAGATAACGGGTCGCTTGAGCTGGAAGATGAAGAGGATTCAGTTGAGGCAAGCGAGGGGACACTAGCGCCCACTGAATCCATTGAACGAGCTATGAGGGAACCAGCCAGCGACACCAACATAAAGGACGAGCTAAAGAAATTACCTGAGCACCTCAAATACATATTCCTTGGTCCAGAGGAGAGTTACCCGCTGATAATCTCTGCCTCACTGTTGCCGGACCAAGAGGCTCAGCTCGTCTCATTGCTCAAAAGAAGACAAGCGGCGTTTGCATGGAAGATCACAGACATCAAAGGAATCAGCCCAGCGGTGTGCATGCACCATATTAGGCTGGACGCTGACGCTAAACCATGCAGACAGCCTCAGCGGCGACTCAATGAAAATATGCAAGAGGTAGTAAAGAAGGAGGTGATCAAGCTGTTTGATTCAGGAATCATATACTCTATCAGTGATAGCCAGTGGGTCAGCCCAACCCAGGTTGTCCCTAAGAAAGGAGGCTTTGTCGAACAGACAAGTGACGAGGGGGAGGTCTTCATGACACGACCTGTCACTGGATGGAGGGTCTGCATCGATTACAGAAGATTGAATTCCGCCACGAAGAAGGATCATTTCCCGCTTCCCTTCCTTGATCAATGCCTTGAGAAGCTCGCAGGTCACGAATACTACTGTTTCCTCGATGGCTACTCAGGCTACCACCAAATTCCCGTCAAACCGGAGGACTGGGAGAAGACTATGTTTACCTGCCCATATAAGACCTTCGCTTATAGGAGGATGCCGTTTGGGCTTTGCAACGCTCTGGCCACCTTCCAGCGATGTATGTACCATATCTTCAGCGATCTCCTAGACTCCTGCACATAAGTATTCTTGGATGACTTCTCGGTATATGGCAAGACATTTTCCAGATGCCTGAACAATTTGGAAAAAGTGCTTCTCCGCTGCATTGAGACTGATCTCGTGCTGAACTGGGAGAAGTGTCATCTTATGGTAAATGAAGGGATTGTCTTGGGCCATAAGATCTCATCTGCCAAAATTGAGGTGGATAGATCAAAAGTTAGTTCAATAAAAAAGATGCCAGCGCCCTCGAATGAGAAAGGAGTGCGAAGTTTCCTTGGACATGCGGGGTTCTACCGCCGTTTCATCAAGGGCTTCAGTCAAATCACGCAACCACTTACATCACTGTTGTGCAAGGATTCTCAATTTCACTGGTCAAGCGAGTGTGAGGAGGCTTTCCGAGTGTTGAAGGAGAAGCTGACCTCCGCTCCTATAATTTTAGCACCAGTGTGGAGTGAGCCATTCGAGCTGATGACGGATCCGAGCGACTATGCCGTCGGAGCTGTACTAGGACAATGTGTAGAATCCAAGTTGAATGTCATCTATTATGCAAGTAAATCACTGGATTCCGCTCAGAAGAATTACACTACAACCGAGAAGGAGCTGCTAGCTATTGTCTTCGCTTTCGAGAAATTCAGACAATATATTATCGGAAGCAAGACCATTGTTCACACTGACCATGCAGCTATTAAGTATTTGATGGAGAAGAAGGAGACAAAGGCCCGCTTGATCAGATGGGTTTTGTTGCTCCAAGAATTTGACATAGAAATCAGGGATAAGTAGGGGAAAGAGAATCATCTGGCAGATCACCTCAGTAGGTTAAGGCAAGAAGAGGACATATCTCCAGGAATTAACGAACAATTCCCAGATGAGAAGCTATTCCTGGTGCAAGCGAAGGAGCCATGGTTTGAGGACCTGGCCAATTTCCTAACTACAGGACAGTTTCCAGCACATACTGTACAACGGGAAAAGAAGAGATTGCTCAGTTTGGCAAAGGACTATTTTTGGGATGAACCCTATTTGTTTAAGATCAGCTCAGATGGGATAATCCCGCTGATCTTGAATGAATGTCATGGGTCCCATGTAGGAGGATATTTCGCTGGCCTGCGCACAACGGCCAAAGTTTTGCAGTCAGGCTTCTTTTGGCCTACCCTACAGAAAGATGCTGATGCCTTTGCCAAATCTTGCGACAAGTGCCAAAGATTGGGATCTATTTCGAAGAGGGATGAGATGCCCTAAACTGGAGTCTTGTTTGTGGACATATTTGATGTATGGGGGATAGACTTTATGGGTCCCTTTCCGCCTTCTAATGGGAAATTATACATTCTGGTGGCAGTGGATTACGTGAGCAAGTGGGTTGAAGCGCAAGCGCTCGCCACTAATGATGCTCGATCTGTGATCCGCTTCCTAAAATATACCATATTCCCAAGGTTTGGGGTCCCCAAAACGATAATAAGCGATGAAGGCGGGACTTTGTGAATAAGGAGCTGCAATCTTGCTTTCAACAATATGGTGTCCGCCAGCATCTGACTACCCCCTATCATCCGCAAGCGAGCGGTCAGGTGGAAGTTTCAAATAGAGAGATTAAACACATCCTCCAGACCACAGTAAATAAAAGTCGCAAGAATTGGGCAGAGAAATTGAATGATGCATTGTGGGCATATAGAACAGCCTTCAAAACTCCAATTGGAATGTCCCCTTATCGGCTTGTATATGGAAAAGCCTGCCACCTACCTCTGGAACTTGAGCATCGCGCGTATTGGGCCATCAAGTATCTCAACTTTGATCTTCTCCCAGCACAGGAGAAGCACGCCAAAAGATTGCTCGATCTGACTGAGTTCCGTTACCTTGCATATGAAAGCGCTAAACTCTACAAGGAAAGGATGAAATTCTATCATGACAGGAAGTTGAAGAAGAAGGAATTCACTGTGGAATCCAATGTTCTTTTATACGACACTAGGCTTCCTGGTCAGACAAGTGCTGCCAAGTGAAGCCATAAGGATCAATAATTTGGAAACCCCAGGAGAAAGAAACTCCTTCCTGGTCAATGGAGCGAGACTGAACCCCTATATCGAAGGGCTTGTATTGCAGCAGGCCAGTGCAGATGTTAATCTGATAGAGGTTCAGAATCTCGTTCGATGATAGAATTTTGTGAAGAAGATCCAGAAACCTAGTATTATATCTGCCAATTTTACAGCTTTCTTTTATCGCTTTCCTAGTTAGAATTTACCACTTTTATAGTTAAAATTTACAAGTATTCTTTATCGCTTTTATAGATAGGTTTTTAATTCTTACCACTTTCGTAGTTAAGATTTACAGTTTTTGTTATTGCTTTCATTAGAGTAGTATTATCGCTTTAAATAGTTAGGATTATCGCTTTCTAGGAATAGTTTAATGTTAGAATTTTAACTTCTAACCTGAGCCTGACCCAAGCCATCCATCGCTTCGCTTGTCTCACCCTGATATTACAGGGGGAGCAGTATCGCTTACCCAGTACCGCTTCCATCACCGCTTGAGTGTCACCCTTAGGTAAATAGAAGTCTTGCTTTACCCGCTCACCCACCCTGAAAAACCCTCCTTTATACCTTTATAAGTAATTACATTGGACTAGGCAGCGCTCCGCTTGCCTTCCAGACGAGCGACATAAGTTCTATAAATACCCCAGTCAACAGTCATTTTCCGTTTTTGCCCTATGGTAACTTCCTCCAGACGCTTTAGTAACCGCCACTCTCCAAGCAAATTTTTTTTTTTTTCAAAATCTCGACATTTCAACCAGTAATAGCTTCATCTAAGGTAAGATCTAGGTTAAACTTAGTACATAAACTCGATTTTACGGTTGATTTTCCCTGATTTAACATTCAAAAACACAGAATCACAAATTATTTTTGTGATAACTGTCTGTTCTTCATTTTTGCGAAAAATGTTTATATGTTTGATTTCTGTGAATCTAGGTCTATTATCTGCTAGATTTAGATACAATAACTGATATACTTGCTTCCTATGGTTCAATTTTACAATAATCTGTATGTTTTGTGCTGTTCTGTGATTTTCTCCATTTTTCACAACGTAACACTCACAGTAGTGGTCCGATTCATTGCGAGGGGGAGGATCTAGGGTTAAAATCACCAAAATTTTGAAGATGATTGCCTGTGCATGAATGTTGTTAGCATTTTAAAGGAGTAAGGCAGGATTCATAAATTTTGTATAATAAACAATAATTTTGGAAACCCTAAGTTTAGGACAGACTTGACAAAATAGATCCAGTCAAGCGAGAAACGTTGAATAAGGAGTTCGAGAAGGTTATGGAGAGGATCGAAAAGAGAGTCCAAATGATTAAATCTACGGACAGACGACAGGTGGTGACAACAACCTCAGGAGCTGAATTCGTAGAGCCAGCGCCGCCTGAGGCATACTATAGGAGGGGGAGAGTGTTAGAGCTCACAGAGGACTGGGAAAAGCTCAGGCAGCTGAAGTCACTCCCCTTTAGAAAATTCATTCCAGAGTTCCCGGAGGATTACCTCATATTCGAATACATTGAGGAAACGGAGCGGAGGTATCCGGTGAGCGACTGGTGGTTGGACTACGAGGAGCTGAAGGAGTACCAGCTGAAGGAGCTGAAGGACAAACTTGCCTGCCAGGAGGCACCGCTGAGAAAAATGAAGGCATTCAGAGGAGAGACATCTAAGAAGAATGCCGCCGATGCTGCAATAGATGTGTTGAGATCCAAGCAATTTGATAAACTTCATTTTTCCAACATTGATGCAGCAGCGGCCTATGAGCGGATGAAGGCAATGGGGATCCTCTACGAGAGAGGATTTGACCCCGAGAAGATCACAGGCCTGCTCTCTGACTAGCTGGAGGAGCGAGGCCTGTCATGGTTGATCAGAAACCCCAGTGATCCAGTGGATGTATCGCTGGTGAGGGAGTTTTATGCTAATCTGATCCAGACTGAGAGTCTAAAGAATGTCTACATTCGGGGGAGATGGGTAGACTGCTCAGCCAGGAAGATCAACTGACTCCTGGGTTGGGAACACCACTACCCCACCCAGGAGATGAAGGACAAGTTGAAGGCAACGGAGGTCTGCAGCTCGCTTGAGTTGCAGATGCTTTACAGGACCTTCGCCACCACCCCTGTATACGAGAAGAGGAACTTAAAGTTTGGGGTAGTGGACGAAGAGAAAAAGAAATGGGTGAAGTGGTCACTGAGCAGAATAATGATCACCGCACATACCACTGACATCCGTCCTGACTACCTCCTTGCCCTTCGCTCAATTCTGGATGAGACTGCTGATGTGGATTTGGGCGCGATCATCGGCATAGATATCTGGGATCGAAGAAGCGGAGAAAGAACACTTGGTCATGGGACTTTGATCACAGAACTATGCCGACGCGCGGGCGTTGACCTGCCCACTCCAGCCCTAGAACTTCAAATGAAGCCGCTGCTTCCAGCGGCCTTCCACAAAAACTGGCTGGAGTCCAAGGGGTTTACTCTCATCCCCAAGCAGAAAAAGAGGAAAGCACAAGCGGCGGTGCCCCCTCCACCATAAAGGAAGATGAAGTTTGTGTGGGGGGGATATCATCAGAGGAGGTGACACCTCAGACCGAGCCCGATTCTGAGAGGACAATCTCCAATGAAGCTACCAACGATGAGGAAGAGGAAGCCCTCCGCTTCGCTCGGGAGATAGAGGAGGATCTATTTGGGGCAGAAGCGGTCAGGAACAATAAGGGAGGCAAAGCGCCAAGAGCGGTCGCTGGCAAAAAGAGGTCAAAGAAGCAAGAAGACTCTGCTCCAGCGCCTGTCAAGAAGCTGAGGGTCAAGGAAGCTCTCCGAAAAAATCCAACACCCCCTCGGCGAACGACAAGGCAGGAGAAAGGGAAGGAGAAAGCGGTGGATGTGGAGGCAAGCGAAGACACGATCTCCCTCTCCAGGCTATGGAAGGGGATCGTCATCAGAGAACCCACCGCTCAACCCGAGAGACCTTCGCCAGTGAGGCCAGCGATGGTGGAGGTGTCACCAAGACTGCCAAGTCCGCTTGGCAATGAACCTGTTCCCTTCGACCAGCAGGGGGCAGGTGAGCCAACTGCTGCTGGAATAGGCGAGGAAGCCGCACCCGTTAACCAGCCGGGAATGGTAGAGCCTACTGCTGCTGGAACAGAGGAGGAGCGGGAGACCGTACTTACTGAGGAAACCATCGGCGGGATTGATGTCACCGTGGAGTCTTACAAAGGATATCTTCCCGAGGTCCCCGCTGCCACAACCGCTGAAGCTGCCAATGAAGCCGAGGAGGTGGAGGCTGTAATTTCGAACCTTCTTATCCTGCAAGTGTCCCCACGCAGCCCAAGAACACCTACCATGATTGGGACACCTGCAAAGACTCTGACTCATGCCTCAGCCAAATCAGACAAAGCACTAATAGAGGAGGAGGAGGATGAACAGGATAGGAAGCTGCAAGAGAAGCAAGCTCAACTGCTCGCCGAAGTACAACAGATCGAACGACTGCAGCAGCTCGAGCGATAGAAGAAGAGGAAAATGAAGGTGTTGGTCAAGCTGCTCAAATACTGGAAGCCGCTGACCCAACTCCACCTGCGATTTAGGAGGTATTTGAAGCGAAAGAAAGCAGAGCAGATGGAGTATGAGGCAACGAGGCAGCTAGTATTACTCACGGATGTCACCCCTGAACCAGCACCCGATTCCCAGAAGGAGGAAGCACCAGTGGAAATCAGTTCGGCTGAGTCCGAGCGACAGTCACCAGCAGCGGCGGAGGCAGGAACATCAGCTCCCCGCTCATCATTGGAAAACATTGAAAGAAGACTGGAGGAATTCGACTCAACCATTCTCAGCCAGTACATGATGACTCAGACATTAATTGATACATATGCAAGGAGTCTGGCTAATGAACTGACCACTGGCAAGAAGGCAACTGCCACACTGGAAGCACGCGTAGAAGCACTGGAGACTCAAGCTGCAAGCATGGGTACGATGCTACAAGAAATTATGAAAGCACTCACAGCGCTCACCCAACAAAATGCCATCCTCATGGGACAACAGCTTGACACAGCCAGGAGTCTCCAACGAATGGAAAACCTAGTGCGGCAGATATCCAGAAACCTTCCTCAGGGGCGAGGACCTTCGAGCGAGAAGAGGAAATGAAGAAAGGTCCTCCCCCATGTACACATTTTGAAAATGGCAAGGGCTGTACATAATTCTGATCAACGAAACAACAATTTTTGGTAACAAGTGACAATTTTTCTTTATTGTATGCCTAACATAACCTGAAGTATGTGTTCTTATGTGAAATACCTGTGATATCCTATTGAGTTAACTTTGTGATATGTTTTAGAGTAGAGTTAGATGACTTAAGCACATCAGACCAAGTAATTGTCCTTCGAACTTCACAATAACTTGAACATTAGCGTTAAACCAAGTAAAAACGAATTAGACTTTTGAAGATTAGTGCCCCCTTCATTTCAAATTTTCCATACTTAGTAGGGCAAGCGAACCTATGTTTTTCGACTGTGTTCATAAGAAATAACTTGAAAAGAGAAGTCCTTAAATATGGTTTAAGATACAATGCAAGAGAAGTAGGGAGGACCTATCATTACAAAAGGAACTGAAAAGGCCTAGGCGTGTGAGAATCAAATACGATCTTGAGCAGACACAATGTTTGTTTGAAACTCTCGATCCAAAAAAAAAAAAAAAAAAACTCCGCGCCCTTCGGCTGAAGGTTTCCTAAATCAAAAAATTATTCCCTGCTAAGCAAACAAAGTTGACGATACCTGGATGACTCCAATCTTGTTAAATCAAATGACAAGCTGAATACTTATGGCTTTTTTTTGTTCTATTTTGAGATTCACTTTATTCCCAGTCATGGAACTGATTGTTAACACTTCTTAATTGCAGTGAACAGTGTAACCTCTTGATCTTTTAATGCAGTTTGTTTGAGGACGAACAAAGGTTTAGTGTGAGCAGGTTTGATAACTCGAAATAAGA